AAAAAAAAAAACTATGAGATGTCGATGTGAATCTTCACTTCATCCAGACTTACACTCTGTAGTTTTTATTTGTCATAGAAAAAGGATTAAAATTCTAATCTTGCCTGTGTTTTATTTAGGATTGAGAAAAAAATTTAATAGTATTTGTTTTTTTAAATGTAACATACTACGTTGATAATACAGATCAAGTTTATTATGAAAAATTTCCGTTTTTTGTTTTCTAAAGAATAATACTTGATTATAGCATAGACGACGAAACGTTTCGATTCTAAAGTAGACTCAAGATTTTTTTTTTCTAATCTGCTTTATTGGATGATGAAGCAAAAATATTTCACAAAAGAAAACATGTTGTATTGTAAGCTTTTTCATTATTGAAAGTGTTTAATAGACATGTAATCATAGTCGCCAAAGGCGAAGGAAAACTTAGGCAGATTCTAGTTAATGTGGCTCAAATTTTTTTTTTTTATTCTGTTCTTTTTCACTTGTAATGAAGAATCTCCAAATTAAACAGTAGTAGAAAATTTTTACAATAATTCGAGTCTATCTAAGCTTTTATCTATGCAATCTAGAGTAGATTCGAGCTTAGTCAGGTCTCATAGCTTTGCCACCTATGAATTATAGTAGAAAAATCTTTAGATAAAGAAATATTTTGTTCTTTAAATGATCACAAACATGCATAACTAATTGTACTTTTACAAACAAAACTCATATAATCTTACCAGTTCTGAATGTATGATCAGTGAAAACAATACACAATGGTTTTGAAGAGTACATCTAACAATAAAGTGTCACAAGTTCTATTAAGTCAACTTGTCCTATAAGTACTCCTTTCATCGAAAGAGATTGACGAGTATAAAATAGAATAGCAATCTTGTCTATTTTTACTCTGAAACTCTACATTAATTAATTGATGATGTTTTTCTTTCTTTATTATAAATTTATTATGGAAAATTCTAGATAGTAGAAATAGAATTATTTATAATTTTTTATGAATTGCATGACAATTTATAAAACTTAAATCTTTGATCTACTAATTTTAATTTCAATTTTCTATAAAATAAAGTGTCCAATACATCTGGCTTTTTTTTTTGCTTGATATAGTGAAGAAGAAAAAAAATTTATTTAATTTTCTTTTACTTGTTAATTTTGGTATGATAACTTTTTCAACAATTAATGGTATAAATTGAAAATCTTCAACTTCATTACGTCCATCTTTTACACCATAGAATAATAAATTTTGATACCAATTATAATCTTCAATAGCTCGACAAGATGTCTATAAAAATAAAAAATAAAATAAAATTTTCTTTTTTTGTTTTTTTTGTTTGTATCTTTACTTCAAATGGTTTCCAATCAATAATTTCTCGTCGTATTAATGGTGAAAATAATTTTGGTAAACATATTTCAATAAAAGCATCTGTATATGTTTCATTTTGTTGATATTTCCACTGTTCAAATATTATTTTTATATTTTTATATTGAGAATATTCATCCGAAACATCATCAAATAAATGTTCAGCTTCATTAATAATTTCTTCTACAATTATAAAAAGAAAAAAAAAAAATATCAAATAATTTTTTTTTGTGTGTATATTATATTTTATTTTACGTTTCTGTGTTAAAAATAAATTAATATCTGATTGATTTTCTTCATCATCTGTTGACATTCCATCAAAATGTTGTGTAGATGTTTGTTCACGATCTTTTCTTCTTCGTAAACTTAAACAAACAAAGAATCAAATAATTAAATGATTTGTAAAAAAAAAAAATTCTATAATACCGTCGAGCTTCACGTTCAGTTGCTCGACGTTGTCGTTTTTGATCAAGAACTGTTCGAAAATCATTCGTTGTTAATGTACCATTAATAAATGCTGTTGCTTTTTCTACAAATAAAAAAAATTTTACTTTTGTTGTTGTTGTTCTTTTTTTTTTTGGCTTATTAAATTTACGTATTGAATATTCATGACATTGATCTTTAAAATCTTCTTGTCGACGTGTTACAATCATATCAGTTCTTTGTTTATATAATTGTAACCAACGTTCTTCAAGATTTATAATAATTACCATCTATAATAATAATAATAAGAAAAAAAAAACAAGAATAAATTTTAAAATAGATTTCTTTTTTTTTAAATACTTTTTCATTATAACATTCAAGAAATGAATATACATAAGCACGACATTGTTGATAAAATTGATAAGATTTTTCCATTTGTGGATAATCAATTGTATTTTGTTGTAATGATATATGACTAGCATCATATGCTTGATTTATTTTTTCATAATCAATTTTATGTTTTTCATGTGATTCTGTTATTGATTTTAAACTAAAATGTTTAAACAAAAAATAATTTTTCTATTAATTTAAAAAAAAAAATAAACAAACATACGAATCATTTAAACGATCTCGAATATCATCAAATGTAACAGGTGGTAATTCAAGTGGAGGTAATTCTCGAGTTATTTCAACTTCCATTGGTTGTGGTTCAACCAGCGATGATGAAAGATTTTCTGTTTGTGATTGAGAAAACTAAAATACAAAAAATAAAAATATTTTTATTAATTTAAATAATAAAGAATTCCATTCCTTTTAAGCTATTATTATAGCAAAACTTGAATTGTTATGTCAAGATTTGAATTAGATTAGAGATCATTATTATTTTGCTTAGACTTTTTTTTTCTTTTATATAAATATCGACAAATGATTCTCATTGTCAAAATGCCAAAAATGATTAACATTATCGAAGACTTCTTTTCCAAGATAGAAAGCTCATATGAATGATTAGAATTGTTCAAGAGTTATTCACATTCTTTTTTCCCGATGGACTTTTCAAGCATTCTGCATTTCCTTATTTCATTTCTTGAGGATTACGTAAAAGAATGATAAAGAAATGTATGTCCCAAAATAGATAGAATGAAACAATCTCTCTGGGACTAGTAACATCATGTTTTACATTTTAGGATTGTGCTAACAGCTTTTTTCTTTTTCTCTAAATTTTGAGGCTTGATAAATATTAGAGAAAACGTAATTTTCTTTTTTTTTATAATGCTAAATGAGTTAAAAAAACAAAAATAAGAAAGAGCGTAAGAGGAAATCTTACGACGAATAACACCGACTTGAGATTTGGAAGAAGAGGAAGCCAATGTTTTGATTGTTGACACTGCAGAGATTTTCGAACTAACACCTTTGCGAATTTGTTCATGTTCAAAACGACGAAATTCTTCTTCATCTTCGTCATTATCACTTCCTATAAATCCCACAAAAAGATATTTGTTTTTTGTCAATTAACAATACAACATATATTTATATTTATAATAATTTACAAACCTTGTTCTAATTCTAAAAATCGATCACGATTTTTTTGACGTTCACTTTCAGCTCTTGTTTTATTTCTATCCATACTAACAATATGTGGATCTTCATTACCACTATCATCACTAACATCATTTTCATCATCACTAAATTAAAATTATATATTCAATTTTAATTAAAAACAAAAACAATTTTATACCGTATTAAACGTGATTTTCGATCATTTCCATTTTCAGCAGCAGTATTTACTGATATATAATCACCAGGTACACCACCCATTTCTCTAGCCATTTGACGTCGTTTACGTGCTGCATGTATCATAGTTGAATCGGGAATAACACCACCTTAAGAAAATAATATAATCATAAAACAAAATCAATAAATAAACGAAAAATAATTTACTTCTTAACATAACTTTAACTGAACGTTGTGTATCATCAAGTGCAGTATCATCATCATCATCATTTCCTTCGAAAATTCCTTGAATATCATCTAAATCAGGTATATCACCTTCTGGTCTATAGAGACCTTTCATTTCTTTTCGAAGACGCTGAAAAAGAAAACAAATAACACTACAGATCTATATAAAATGTATATCAAAAGTCTCGTCCTAAAAGTTTTCTTTTTAGTGTATCGATTCATCTTTATCAACTAATTGTTTTTTTTCTCCATAGATCGAGTTTTTAATTACATAAGGAAACTGTCTAAATATCTTTCAAAGCTATCATCTCTAAATTTTTATATTTCATTTAGAGATGATATTTTTGACGGATACTTTTTAAATTTACTCGTATATATATATAAACTTGGTTTATTTACCTATCATTCAAAACACAATAAAATAGTTGATAAAATTAAATTAAATAGTAAAGATATATGAAAAATCTTTTAGGAATAGACTTTTGAGACATTCTGTATATAGGAAAAAAAAGTAAATTACCTGTAGATCAGCATTTGAACTTGTAAACGAATTTGTTGAAGATTTATTTCCAATAATCTGAAGAGGTTTGACTAGAAAAATACAAGATAAAAGAAAAGTTAAAAAAAAATAATAAAACTTTTGATTTTTTCATACATTTTATTTGAATTTCTCCATTATTATTATTTTCTTCTTTAGGTGTTGTTATTGTTTCTTCAACAGTCGTCGTCGTCGTCGTCGTTGTTGTTGTTTGTTGTATAACTACATTCGGTTTTGAATCAATCGATGTATTTTGCAATTGTTGTTGTTGTTTTTTAACTTCTTTTGCCATTTTACGACTTTCACGTGTTTTATTAACTTTAAATTCTTCTGTATCACCTATTTTTTTTTTTTTGTAAATAAAATAATAATTAATTATATATACAATATAATCTCGGTCTATAATGAATACTCTTCGAACTTTTCAAAAGTATCTACTATAAGAAGGTGAGATATTATCTAAAAGCATCTTATTTTTTTTTACAACTCATAGACATGTTTTTGAGATATCCGAAGAGTATTAGTGAATAAAAAAAAAAATTTGAACTAATTGTTATTTCCAAATATTTACCTTCATCATCGCCAAAACTTAATAATGATTTTGGTACTTCTGTTTTGTTGATTACAGTTTTTGTTGTTACTGTTTGTTGTTGTATAACAGTCGATTGTGTATTTGAAACATTTGATTGATCTTCTTCTGTATTATCAATATCTATTCGACCACGTAAATTACGTTGCTTTGGCTTTCGAAACATCTAAAAATTATCATTAGATTTATTCAACCGATTAAATATATTAAAAGCAAAACAAAAAACCAGAATGTCAATCTATAGGAATAAATAAATAGATGGAAAAGACAAATGAGACAGCCATAATTCATCAAAGGGTAAAATCGGGAAAGCTTTGTCATCATTAATAAAAATAATTTTTTTGTATTAAAAATGATTTTTTCCTAATTCCTATATGACGTTTAATGAATAATAAAAAAAAAAAGAATTATTGAAAAATATCTCGAAATTTCGTCATGTTATTCAATATGAATGGTTAATAAATAAACGAATGAAAATATTCGAATGAATCATCATTGATCGTTGGTTTCTGTTTTTATGTGTATAAAATTTCTAAAAAAATTTCTCCTGTATAAAATCTAGATCTATTTGTAAATATGTCAGATCAGCGTCGATCGAGTTCTCGAAAATGTGTAACAAAACATCAATTACCATCAAACAGTGTTTCTAATGAGAATTTTCAGTAGAGTGCGCAATCCGCACTCTGTTTTACAATATATTTCTTCGCGCACTCTGAAATTTTCGACAAAGTGTACAGAGTGTGCACGATCTAGAAAAGAAAAGGAATATTGAATAAAATAAATTTAACATTCTGTTTGAACTTTTTTCATTTCAAGGTTATATAAATAAAGCTAGATGGAATAAACTATGTGTAATAAATATTCATAGAGAAAAAGTAAAAAAAAAAGACTAGCGTAACGAGAATCGCAAAACTCTTACTAAAGGGTAATCAGAAAGTTTCGACCCCTCTTAGTAAATCGATAGTATTTATGGTAAACTTATATATAGTTAATCGATCAAATTATGTGATCTTGTAGAGGAAGAGTAGAGCTATCATCTGAAAAAAAAATATCTCGAAATGCTCAAATGTAAGATAATGTTACGGTTATTCTACTAATCGCGAGTGAATATTTTCATTTTACATTTTTTGAGAAAAATATTTAAAAAATGTTTTTCAATAAAATATCTGAATGATTTAAAAGTTCAAAATATATATGATAAACTTACAAATTATTTAGATATTTTATTGAAAGATACTTTTGAAATATTTTTCTCAAAAACTGTAAAATGAAAATATTCCCTCGCGATTAGTAAAATAACCATAACATTATCTTACATTTGAGCATTTCGAGATATTTTTTTTTTCAGATGATAGCTCTACTCTTCCTCTACAAGATCACATAATTTGATCAATTAACTATATATAAGTGTGCCATAAATACTATCGATTTACTAAGAGGGGTCGAAACTTTCTGATCACCCTTTAATATATACTTATTTAATGTTCAACAATTTCAAAAAAACTACTCAAAAAATAAAAAACAACATTTAATTGTCGTTTCCTTCAATATTCATATATAGATCATCCACTATTCATATATTAAATTAATTCAGATGATTGTTCTTGTTCAAAAGTATCATCTTCTATATGCATGTCAGCATGATCATTGCAAAACCAAGTTGTTGAATCAGTTGGAATTGCTAGTTTTATTCTACAATAATTACAAAGCCATCGGGAACATTCTTCATTATCATTGATCCAAGAATAATACTCAAGCTGATGGCAGCATTGAATTGCATCATATTGAAATGGATCATCATTTGAGATCGTTCGACGACAACCATTAGCACACTTCACAGCTGTTGCTTTCGGCTTTTCTGGCCGACTTGAACTAGGATCATGCTGTTTCAATGATTGTGCTCGTTTTCTTTTAATATTACTTGCACGAGTTTGTCGTGTTGGTTCATAGTCATCTGGTATATCTATTATTAATTTTGTTCGTTTCCATCGACGATTTTCATCTGGATTATTCCAAAGATCAAATGATTTTTCGACGATTTGTTGGCACCTTTTGCTAAAAAATAATCAAATAATAGAAGAAGAAATTTCTCACATTATCTTGTTCTTACCTTCGAATATCATTATGCAAAAGTAAACGAACAGTAAGTAAAACATTTAAAGTCTCGATCAAAAGACGCGCACGACTATTTGTTTGAATACGATTTGAAGCACTGAAACCACGCTCACATGCAGCTGAGTTTGTTGGAGAAACTAAATAAACCTTCGCTAACAACATAATGTTTTTGTAATCATAAACAAAGTTGATATTGATTGACTGTTGCAACAGTACAAATTCCTGCCAAAATAATTTTCTCGAACATTTTTTGCCATCAATAGCAATATATGCGATTAATGATGGCCGTAGAGATTCCCATTCGGTTGAAACCTTTTTTGGATCAAAATCATCGAGTAGATTATATATTTTTGAGAGAAAGACAAGTTGTTCACGTCCATAACCAGTTTGACGAACAAGTTCTTCATTTTTACATAAATATACTGGATCAAATAATCTACTTAAACTTTCTTGTACCTTTGATATGGGAAAACGTCGATCAAGTTCAATAAGAAAACGTTCTATGTAAGACCGACAGTTTTGTTCGGCAATTTGTCGATTTTTTGTATCGATGGAGAAGGCACCATAAGTTTTATTTAATGTAAGTTGAATGTAGTTGGATAAAGATGGACCCCATGCATAGGAACACGATGTTGTTGAATTCAAGTTATTGGTGGTATGTTGATCAAAGCTGATGGAGCCGATAACCACCCATTTAACACACTCTTTTTTTCCTGAATTTTATCCTTCAAAATTGTATAAGAAACATTATCGTCTTGCATCATCTTTGTTAATTCACCTAAAACAATAAGTTAACGATATCAGTGAGTTCTTTATGTAAGAATAGGTTACCTGATACACATTCTTGTAAATCATGATGAAAATGAAGATAAAATAAAAATGAATCATCGAGAATGGAATTATATAAATCGAGAGCTTTTTCACGATCGGAAAGACTAAAATCTTGATCTTCAGAAATTTGTTTCAATGTAGCAAATAAGGCTTGATGACCTAAACCGAATACAGATGTTAAACCACGTTACTTGGAGATTAAGTAAATATTTTTACCAGGTTCAATATTACTAATGATGGGTATTAAACAACCACGAATAGATGACCATCTAATATCAAACAAATATTTGAATTTGAGTTCTGGTAGATCGAGAAAATTTTGCCAATGTTTCAACATTGATAAACGACATGCACTATGAAAAAAATTATAAATTTGTCCTAAGTTTGATTCAAATTGAGCTACATCTTCTCGAGTTCGAACACGATTTGTACCATCACCTAAAATTAAAGAAACGTTTAGATTCGAAAGTGGTTACTCTCGAAACATCTAACCAACAAGTTCTTTTCCAGCATGACTACCAACTAGTGCAAATGAATGAGCAGCACAAGTATTTAATTCAAGATAATCAATTCCATATTTTTTTTCAATTTAGCTGCAACACCATTGTGAATTCCTGGTAATAAAAAAAATACAATCGACAATGAATAACAATTTTCCCAAACCGGTAAAAGTTGAAGCGTTGTCTGTAGCTAACCAACACGTTTTTTTCATATTAATTCCATCTTCATCCCATAATTCACCTAGTTTATCAACAATATGTTGAGCCGTTCCATCTCCATTCATATTTATTAAACCATAAAAATCAGTTTTTTGTTCGTAATTGTCCACATAACGAGCATAAACGATGCAGCTTTTTCACAAGTACGAGACGTGGATTCATCTATTAACCAACCTAAAAAGAAAACAAGTAGAAAAAGTCAAGAGAAAACAAAATATTCACCTAGTATTGGACTTTGATTCAATTTTTCAACTAATTCTTGATGTAAAATTCGAGCAGTATATTGAAGAAAACACAAAGCAGCACAATCATTTCTGTAATTAATACCAGATACTTCTGCAGGAAGTAGATTTACTCCATTCTTTTCTTGAAGATTACATAGTGGTTCAAAACTATTAAGTGGATGATATTGTTGACAAATAAAAATAGCAGTAAACATTAGGTTTTGAATAGATTGTTGATGTTTTGTGTAGATCATCGATTGAGTTGTTTTCCAATCAGGCTGAATTTTAGATTTACTATTTAATTCAAGTTCTTGAGCTTCAATATGTTTTTCATTATATAATCCATGTTCTTTAATTTTATTTAATGCTAACACTGAATAATCATACGTTGCCCATGGATTTATTTTTCCATTCGCATTCTTTATCATTTGGTATTTGTTACAAAGAAAACAACCAATTGTAATTTTTCCATTTTCATCTTGTTTTTTTCGAAGCCAACATTGACGGCTTTCCTGTAATTCACCTGATGAATTCAAAATCATAGTTCGATAATATGTTTCAGGTTCTTTTTCCCATCGAGATAAATATCCCATTGTACGATGATTATTTATTTGCTTCGAAGATGATGGTTCCGATGATGCAACATGTATAATTTGATTCGTTTTTTTAATACAATTGTCATTGACAAGAATTGACGAAGATATAAATGGAGATGTTGACGTGGATTCGTTTTCAAGATCAATGATTATTGGTTCTTGTTGTTGCTGAATCTGATCAGTAGAAATCAAAACAGTTGATTTCATTTCATCATTATCAATTGAGTTCATCAAGATTATTCAGTTAATGTCGTTACTATTATCACTTAGATTATTTTTGTTATTTTATATTTATCTTGAACTGAAACAAAAAGTCAAATGAGTAGTAAAAGAATAGAAAGGCTTTTGTCGATTTTTTTTTGCAAGTTAAAAAGGAAACATTGTAAGAATTCTTTCTTTTTTTATTTCTCTTTTCTTTGTTGTTTATTTATTTTTCTCGATTTTCTTCTGTATGATTCAGCAAGCTTCCCATTTGTTACGAAAAGGATCAAATATGAAAAAGTTGTTTAAAATTCGAAAGCGCTACTGTCAATGCGTTGAAAGCACACATGGACATTTGTTATGCAAAGAAAAGAATATCTTTGTGTAGGACATAGTGTATTTGTAAAATTCATAGTGTACTGTGCGCACTTTCTTTTCTTATTCAGAGTATAAACAGAGTGCGCTTGAAAAAAACAAAGATTTCATGCATTTTGCTCTATATAGCGCACTTTGTCATTAGAAACACTGCCATCAAATTCTTTATTATCAATTTCAACTCAAATACAAAATGATATTAAAATAATAAAAAAATCTCGTAAAACAAAGAATAAAACATTATCTGATACAACTGTAAGGCAAAAAAAAAAAAGAAAAATAAAACAAAATTAAAATAAACTTTGAAGAAATTATTAAATATTTTCAGGTATCAACTACATATCATGAAACACCAAATGTTTACAATTCTTTAACCACAAAACCAACTAATAAACGAACTCGATTAGATTCTTTAACACCAAATAAATTAAAACAAAAGAAAAAAAAAGAAATTCTTTATGATGATGATGATGATGAAATTGAAGAAATATCATCAGAAAAAAAATCTATTGAAAAAATAGGTTAATAAATATTGAATGAAAATATTTAATATACTTTTGATTTCTTTCTATAGAAATAGATCGATGTGCTATTTGTTTGGATGATTGTACAGAACCAAAACAACTTGATAAATGTAGTCACATATTTTGTAGAACTTGTATTGATCATTATTTTGAAGCAATTAAACCTCAATGTCCATGTTGTTTTACTATTTATGGAGAAATTCGAGGTTGAATTTGATTTGACATATTTATTTATTTATTTATTTTTTTTTTTTTATTATAGGAAATCAACCAGTTAATGGTACAATGACTATTGATACATCTAAACATCGTTTGCCCGGTTTTGAACATGATTCACGTGGTACTATTAGAATAACTTATTATTTTCCTCATGGAATTCAAGATGTAAGATGCTATGAATAATTGATTTTAGTGATGTACCGATGTCAATTTTTATAATTGATTACGGATGAGAAATTATCGAGTAATGAAAAATTTCTGGATTTGATTCTTTCGTCAAGAAAAAGTTATTTTACGAAGGTAGCGATTAGAGATTCGAATTTCTCAACTCCGCAAACTTCTTGACCAAACTTGATAGAAAATCACTAGTTTCACAAAATAGCTTTTCCTTGATGGAAAGAATCAAATTCCAATTACTTCTAACTAATTTCAAATCAAGAATTGGAATTTATGCTTATCTAATTGATTTTATTCTCTTTTTGTGTCTTAAGGAAAGTCATCCAAATCCTGGTAAGCCATATCAAGGAACAACTCGTCAAGCTTTTTTACCTGATAATCGTGATGGTCGTCATATACTTGAATTATTACAAAGAGCTTTTGAATTACGACAAATTTTTACTATCGGTCAATCTCGAACAACAGGTTATGATAATGTTATTACATGGAATGATATTCATCATAAAACAAATATTCATGGTGGAGTAGAAAAGTAAGTTTTTCAAAATTTGTGTATTGGATCAATTTAAAAGATCTAATCGATTTTAACTATTTTATTTTTTAAACGAATGTTTTTATTTTTTCTAAATATTTCTTTTCTAGTTTCGGTTATCCGGATAAAACTTATCTTAATCGGTAAATAAAAATTAATTATAATGTTATTTAATATATATTGTTTTTTTGTTTTATCTAGAGTGAAACAAGAATTAGCAGCTAAAGGAATTAAATAACAGTTCATCTTCGATATCGTTTATAATATATTTAGAGCAATAGCACTATCGTCTGATATGATATTATCAAAATACATAATCAAGGTTTCCTATCGGTTGTTATATATAAAATTATTGTATAGTGAGCTTATTCTTCTATTTTTTTATATACGATGATTAATTAAAGAGTGTGTATCGATCAGCTTTCTTTCTTTCCTTTTTTTTTTGTTCTGTTTGTTTGGATTTGTTGATATACTTCTATATATTCTTTTTTTTTTGTCTTCTGAAACAATGTTACATATATGAATCAGTTAAAAACTGAACGAAAAATAAATAAAAATTCTTATCTCTTAAACAATCTTGTTCATAAATGATTTTTTTTTTTCTAAGTATATTTTATCTATTACACCGATGGACGTGATCAATAATATAATAACAAGAATAATAAAAAGTATCAAAAAGGAAAGAACAATAAGACAAGATGTGTAAAGAAAGAATAGTCGTGTTAAAATAACTGGAATAGATTGGTGGAAACACTTCATTATTTTCCCTTAGTTGGCATGATTTTCGATGAATGAAAACTAAGAGATTAGAAATGACTTATGTCTATCAATCATCTTTTAAACTAGAAATAATCAAAGAAAAAAAGTCCTATATTTACTTTCTGTTTTACATGATTGTTATGTTATTTGTTTTTCCTTACTCATAATAATGTCCCAATAAAAAAGGCCGTTCAAGTAAACCTTCATTTAATACTAATGGGATTTTATGTGCTGGTTCAAAGAGGCACTTATGTGCTATCCTGAAGTCTACTCTGAAATCATGTTTTAGAAGCTTTTGATGAGACATAGATAGTAAGGAAAAGAAGAGAAAATTTCCTCTAAAAAAAAAAAAGAAAGTTATACATAAAGAAATTTAGTCTCAATACGTCACTCGTAACTTTTGTTTCAATCATCTCAATTTGACCTATGAACTTTTTTGAATCTTCTCTATAAAATACTCGACTGTCGTTGAGAAGGAAAGTTTATCGGTCCATATTCAAATCCTAAATATTTAAATAATTTTAAAGTTCCTAGGTGTTTTCCATCTATATACATGTGTACGTAAGATTGTATTACATGTGAATAAAACAATTGTATAATCGGTTTTTTTTTCTGCAATTGTTCGACTTTTTCATTTACAGACATAGTCAAAAAGATTTTGACATATTTCTACTTCCTTTTTATTGATATATTTTATCATTTTTAGAAAATTTTTCTCTATTGATGGAATAATAATTGTACATAAATCGTTAGCACAAATTTATGTACGACAAGTACTAATGCATCATACAAAGTCTGAATGGTAAACGATGAAGATATATGGGCTTAACAAGCTCCCTTTCAAAAGTTCTACATTGATGTTAATTTATTTTTGTTTGTTTTATGACTTCCAAAATCTCTACGGGCTTTCGGATTACTCAATGAATTTACGATGAGTTCTATTGATTTCAAGGGTATTCCCATATGGTAGAGTTTCGTGATTAATTCTTTGTCCCCAAACCATATCATATGCTTTTTTTCATAGTCAATGTAAATGCTGAGTATGAAAATATTGATGACCAGATAATTTTTCACCTCTTGATATATAGATAATATTCTAGTTTGAAGTGAATATTCTTTCTTGAAATTTGATTGCTTCATCAGAAGCTATATGATTTGTTTCAGTTCAACATTTAACTTGATTTAGAAGAATTTTCTCATTTATGAAAACAAATTATTTAAGTTGTTGATAATTATAAATAAAACACAATTAATTATTTTTGTTAATTATTTTCAATCAATTGATTTATTAATAAATATTTTTTAAAATATGTTTGATTTATTGATAAAACTATTGCATAAAAAGTTTATTTGAAATTGTTCATGAAATCTTGTTGTTTCTTAATTCAATGATTTCAAAAATCAAGAAAAAATTCTAAACATTTCCTATTATTAATGATTGTGTAAATGTACGTGTACACCTTGATTTGTAACATAAGAACGGATGACAATTGATAATGATCATCTTTTCTTTAACTGTTACACAACAATAACAAACAAAATTCTTTTTACCGTAGTTGATGATGAGCTTTTCGAGACAAGAAAAAAAGACAAGAATGTTTCTCTCTTTTTTCTTTTCTATCTTATCGGATGGACAGTATTTGTTAATGTCTTAACTTTTACTTCTTCTTTCGGATTGATGATGTTAAACAAATCTCGATTGTCTTTCTTTGTCTCTTCTATAATCATTTCGTCATAAACATTAAATTCTATTTCATATTGTATGTATGTGCTCAAGAAAATCGCATTGAACGAATGTTTGCATAAATGAAAATATTTCACGGCCATCGTTATTCTCTTATTCTCTATTTGAATTAAGACAACGACAATAATTTGTCAAAACAGAAAAAAAACCGAGACAAAAGAGAAGTGAGTTAATTCATTTCTCTTTCAAAGTTAGTCTTATTTAAATTTTCATTAGACAAAAAAAAAGTAAAATAAAACAAACGATTATGACAAATTAAAATAACAATGGATACACGATCTCGCATGTATGATTTGTATATAATTACTAAACATTAAAATTTAATTAATGAATTTATTTCTTTTTTTTTGTTTTTGTTTTTAGAAGTGGACCTTATACTGAGGCAACAGCTGAATATATTCGAAATGGTGGTCGATATGCATTGGCTACGGCTGTTCTTGACTGTATCGTGCTTGTATTTACTATTGTTGTAGCTTTTCTTCTTCGGTAAATATCATTTAAAGAAATTTTATTATAAATAAATAAATTTTATTTTATAGAGCATCGGACATATTTCCTGTTCGACAACAACGATTTTTATGTGATGATGCTCGTTATTATCAATCTTATGAAGATGCTAATACAGAAAGAAATTATATTATACTTTCAAATCTTACTCTTTATATTCTATGTTTATTTATACCAATTATTGTAGTAAGTATCGATAAGATATTCATTCTTTTGTTTTTTTTTGTTCTATAATTTCTCATAATATAATTCAAAATTATATATATTTATTTTTATTATATAGATTTCAATAATTGAACTTGTTCGTTCGTTTACTACCTATAATTCTTATCGAGCTCGTTTTTCTGTTCGATTTAAAGAATGTCTTGTTCGATCATTAGCTCGTATTCTTAAATATTCTTGTATGTTTTCAAAATATATCAATTATTTATTTTATTTTTCATTATATATTTAAATATTTTTTGTTTTGTTTTAATAGCTGTGTTTATTTTTGGTGCATTATCAACAACTGTTCTTACTGATATTTTAAAAATAATGTCTGGTCGTTTAAGACCTTACTTTTTAACTTTATGTAATCCAGATCAAAAATCATGTAATGGAATGGGTATGTATAATAATTATTAATGAAATAATTCTAAATAATAATTTATAAAGGTTTAACTGATGCTGAATTTGTATGTCTATCGAAAAATATGACTGGATTATTACGAGAAGCTCGGTAAGAGAAAAAGAACAAATAAGTTTTTCAATATTTGAATTTTTTTTTCTTTCGATATTCGTTAATTTAGACTTTCATTTCCATCATTACATGCTTCATTGTCAATGTATAGTGCTGTATTTCTTGCTGTATGTTTTTCTTTTCATAAAACTATTTTTTTTTTGTTTTGTTTGTGTAGTGATCAATTGGTTTTTTTTTTTTTGTTATCTAAATAGATTTATTTGCATCGAGGCATTCGCATTGAACGTGTTCGAATTGTTAAACCATTTCTTATTTTGTCAATTATTACATTATCGATAGTAGCCGGTGGTGTACGATTAGCAAGTAATAAAAATCATTGGGAAGATGTAGCAGTTGGATTTGGATTAGGAGCAATGATTGCAATATATTTAGTAAGTCTAATGAGAATGAAAAAACAAAAAGAAAATTAACAAAATTAAAGTTAAATATTTATCTTTCTTTTACACATCATAATAATAGATGAAAACTCTTCATTCACCAAAATCATGTGTTGGATCACCAGTAGCACGTGTAGGCAATTATGATGATTATCAAAGTTATGTTGAAGATCATACTCAATATAATAAAGAAGTAAAGTTTTTTTTTTTCTTTTTGTTTTTGAAAAATTTCTTAAACTATAATTTTCATATAGATGGATGCAACTTATGCTCCTGGTATGGATGCTGTTTATCAAACAACTGGACAAAGTGTTAGTGGTCCTGAACAATTTTCATTACAACCGAGTGCATCTCAAGGTATAGAAATTATTATCTATTTATATTATATTCTTTTTTTTTTCAATATATTCATAAATACAGGCCATATAGCTGGTGGTTTTGCTCGTCATCGATATGATCTTAGAACTCAAATGCAACAACAAGCAGCAGCTGCTCGTGCTGCTCAACAACAATCAACAGATAAAATGAGTAATTCAATAAATCGTAGTGAAGTAACAGGTGGTGTTGTACAACATATTGTTCATCAAATTCAACATCAACCACCAACATCATCAAGTAGTCAACGTCCAAGCACATCAATGAGTGCACTAAGATAAAATACTTGTATGTTTTATTAGTACAAACATCAACAATATTTTATTTGAACATGTTTTTTTTTTCTGTACACATCCTTTTTTTTTTTTGTTTTAATTTAATTTAATTTTTTTTTTGCTGTACTCAGGGTGCTTTCAAAATTCATCAGTAGATCTTTTCTTTATCGCTTTATTTCATGTTTTTGAAAAAGAAAAATTCACTTTGAAAAAAAAAACAAGGCTTGTTTTATAAATATTTATTCTGTGTTTTCATCCGATTGACTGTCACTATTAGTATTTTTTGATTCACCATTATCTTCATCATTTAATTGATCAACTATTTGTTTATATCGAAGAGCTTGATCTGTTTCAACTCTTTCATTAATATTATTTAAATTATCATAGTCCTCTTTTTTTTGATACGGCTGTTGAATTTCTTCCACCGGATCGTTCTCTTTCTCATCATTATTGTTACCATTTTTTGATTCGTCTGATTCACTTTCCGTTTCTACAGGTTGAGTATCAATTTTTTCATTTCCATCATAATTATTAACATTTTTTGGTTCGTCCGATTCATTCCTTGCTTCTGCAAGTTGAATATCAGTGATTTCGTCGTCACTATCATCATTTGTTAAATAGCGTCGACGACTTAAAGGTAAAATTTCATCTAAATCACCAAGATTTGTTCCTCGTTGTATGTCATTGCTGTCTTCTTCATCCGAAGATGATGAAATTGGTTTGCTTGATACAGCGCAAATGAATAAAACGAATAAGGTGATTTTTAAGTGCGTGCGCATGATTTTGTTTTTGTGCGTTGTATGTAGAATTGGTTTTTTTTCAAAAATGACGATGGATTGGGGAAAAAATTCTTTCTTTCTTTTCTTTTAGGTATTTTTTTTTCTTTTATTACGCATATGTCGCAGCGTAAAAACAACTAATTATTGAGATGGTACGAAGAAAAGAAAAATGTTAACCATGTCAAACGAAAAAAAAAAGTGGATATGGATGGCATACAAAACATAGTAAATACAAATGACAGAACAGCTAAATGAAAGTAAACATTTATTGTAACGAAAAAGTATTGCCAAAACTTTTTTGATTAATAAAATACAATGTATTAGCTATCGGTTGTGTATTATTCATCTTAGTAAATTGGACAGAATCCTTATATACATACACGGATTATTCAGTGCATGATGTGTATGATGAAATAATTTTTTTTTTAATATTCGTAAAGAGATATGATTCTATATAATATGATATAAACTAGGATGTTTTCTAACAATTAAAATAAACTTATTTTACAACATCTAATTAAATTGAATTTGATATTTATCGTACGCAGTTTTAAGAGGCAGTCTTCAAATTTATATAAATCAATGTTAATTAATCGGTGAAGAAAATTGAAAGAATAGTTGTAATATTTGCAATCATTTATGCACAAATAATTGATAATAAACGATGAATAACAATGGTTTTGATAGATTTTTTTTTTGTTTAACAACATATATATTAATATACTTCATGCAAATACAAAACATCAGTTTTTGGAGGATATTATTTTATTATTATCTCATTACATAATATGTTAATCACAGATTGTCTATCACATCATTTAAATATATTCCTAGTTAATCGAACTGATTTGATTCATCGATGAGTAAGACATTAAACAAACTCAAAAATTCTATTTCTATACGTTTGACAAAACTTCGCAGTTGGATTTTTTTCCATTTGTACAAAACAAGTGAAAGAAATTTGATTTGTAAATCATTTTTGACAAAATATAGATTATTAATTGAACGATCAATAGTATATATTGAAGATTAATTGTTAATGAATTCTTATCGATAGAATACTTCACTATAGAAATAAACAAGGACAAAATTTGAGACTAAACTTTCTTGTGAAATTTTTATTTTTATTTTTGTTGTATTGAAAGAAAAATAAGATGAATGCAACAAATTCAAATCTTATGTAAGAAATTTAATTAATACTAGTGTCTTGAAGATTAAATTCTTCAATGATTTGTTTTTTTGGTGTCATATAAAATATCTACTGCATATTTTATGTTGTGCAATTAATTCATTTTTTTGTAGTTCACATTTGTGGACAAATATTAACTGCATAAGATGGAAGAGAACTTTTTCTTTTACGTCAATCAATAAACTTGTGATTAGATTTCATAATTAAATATATTCTTCTTGTCTTTATGACATTGAATATACAAGGTAACAATCGATAATTTTTAATATAATACTATTTCATCTCATGAATAAATTTAAAAAAAACATTTTCATACCATTATAAATATGAAAGGAAATAATCTTTTTAATTTTAACATTTCAAAACAAAATAATTTAGTGAAAATCAATGTCATTACGCCACAATAATCCGTCATACCAGAAAACGATGGAAACAATGGGTAAAATGATAGCCGTTTTCTAGCGAAAAAAAAACGGAATGATCAATCAAGGCAAAGTATCATAAAATTTAATGCAGTAATACACCGGTCTACAATTGTTTTTGACCTTTTCATACATGATGCCTGACGATCGAAATGATCGTCATAGTTGTTTAAAGAGTGCTGAATATTATCTAAAGTAATTTCCCATGACATTCTTCTATGCAGATTTGAAAATATCTATATGAATCATTTTGTAATTCGAGGTGTAAGTCGATCGACTGAGCCGTCATCGTTGCAACAGAAAAAGAGATACTATATTTTTGAAAATTTTCGATAACTAGCATCAGTTTTCATGAATCTTCATGTTTTTTTTTCTTATTACTATGTTCTCTATTATCACTGGTCCTTTTTTCGTTTCAAAATTTCTTAGAGTTAGAAAAATTTTTGAAAATATCATCGAAAGATTTCATCTGCCGCTATTGAGATGTTAGATATTTCTAGTAGCTGCTCTCAATCAATGCATCGATTTCTATCTTTAAGTAGGCATGTACGGTTTTAGTGTAAATATTGAAAAAAACTGACATTGCTTTCGCCAGCGAAGTGTTTACTGAATACTGAATACAGTGCATCGATGCCACTGAGACTGGGTGTCGGTTTGTCTAGTTGTGAAAGTGAATATTCATTTCAATTACATCTCTACATCCACACGTTACACTCTTATTATTGAAAAATATAGATAGTCCAAATTTATGATATTTTTAGGAAGGATCGATGCGCTCACTCCACTATTTTTCGTTGAGAATGATAAATAATATCACCAACGGTGTATACTTTGACAAAATCTATGTATCAGTGTTCCACTGAATGTCTATGTCAGCGTAATCAGTGTTGAATGAACATCGGTGTTACAGTGAATTTCAGTGTCAGTTTAATCACAGTCTCAATGATATTGGTGCAATGTAGTCAGTACTCGGTGAACATTTTGTCGGTGATGTTGACAATCAGTAAACTAAGACTGCATATCCCTATCTCCAGTTTAGAATGTCAATTTCGACCTCATCAAAGATCATGTATTATATACATTAGTGAAGATCAGTATTGTTTTGTTTTCTCATTTGTTCTTCTTCGATTCATTCTTTACGACATCAAACATGTCTAAATTCAATTCAATTCGATGACTTGACTTTTGAACAATACCAATTAACCAATAGATTATTTCACAAAAAAACATGACCAAAAAATGAATATGTCGTTTATCGATCACCTTCATTATTTAGCAAAGAAATGGAAAAATTTGTCAATGCGACCTTATGAGAGGTCAAAATGTGGAACTCACAAACTTTGATTGTTTTAAATTTATAGTATGTTATCAGAGGGATTAAAATAATATATTTAAAAAAATGAATATATAGTCGATACGCGCGCTCTGAAATTTTATCATTTCGAAAGTATTTGCATTTATAATTAATATCATTATATTGAAAATACTTATTTGTATTGCCAAATATATCTCCAATGCATAAATTCTTTTTCTCTTAATGATAATATATGCGATACGTATTATAGAAAATGACAAATATTATTTTATTCTTTGCTTCGTAAATTCAACTAGCATCTTAGCCTACTATATACATTGATTTAATCGTTCAGTCAGCTTTCAAGCACACTATTTTTTCTGTCGACGAACTTTAACATCTACTATTGAGTTTTGGCTAAACTTAGAATCCAATGAGTTCATACTTTCCTATCTTCGTCCTATCCTGATTCTACAACATCAATAATACCATTGCCCTACTCGTTGACACCTACGATAAGATTCCTTCATTGTTTTAAATACCAAAAATCGTATTATTTCGACTAGTTAGAGTTTACAGTAGAAACCTTAGATTCATAGAATGCCTGGGAAAATTCTAGAAAGTTTCAGAATGATCTAAATACTATTATTACTGACACGTCTTGTCTCATTGCTAGAGTCTAGGGAAGAGTCGCAAAAAACCTCAATTTAAACTTACATTTACTATTTTCTACAAAAATATGTGAGTTCCACAAAATCATCATTAATCATGTCGAATGTTTCTTTTATTGTGACACAGTGTTATTATTTCATAATTATGGATTAATCTCACAACGAAACTTCTGTGTATTGTTCTTCATTGAGCTCTGCTATTCTAATAGTACATGTGTCAATATGTTAGTGTATAATCCAAGTGGAATATGAAAGAAAGATTTTTGTAGTTTATTTTATCTTGATAATCTTAACCCTTTCATCGCGATGTGAGCCACCGGTGGCTCACGGTGTATTTTAACCAGAAAAATGATGAAAAAGTGGATTTTCTTCTTTTTTTTTAAATAGGAAAGGATAGTTAGTCATAGAGTTACTCCATCTTTGTCACTGGTTGATCTATTTTATTATTTAGAGAAATGCTTTTCATTAAAACAATCAAGACAGAAGAATTTGTCGCAGTCAGGACAGAAAGTTTTTATTCTCTTTGCTACCGTCGCACTTGCTTCTCTTGATTGTTGTTGCCTAATATTTTGATAGCAACCAACACATCATCTTCTGACATCACGTGTAGATCCTTCCATTCTTTCAAGCTTTTGATCCGCCAGCTTGCGTTTCGTTTGGGTTGTTGAACGTTCTCTCGGACCAGATTTTAGATTCTCGTATGGCACACCAAGAAGTAAAGATGATAAAAACATTTTGTTCGAAGCGACAAAATTTTTAGAAATGTGAACTTTTTTGAGTGGTTCTGATGGAAGGAGTCCTTTTGAATGAGTGCGTCACCACGACTTCCTATCCTTCTAGAATCGTCTCAGTTCGACCAAATGAAATGAAAATTTTAGTGAAACTAGAACTTTCATATATCTTGCCGCAGTGCAAGTTTCAGTTCTTTGTTATCTTACGTTATCGAGTTATAACAATCCGTAGGTCCAAAATGGGTGAGTGCGTTATCTGTGAACAGGTTGCGATATAATATTGTGTTGACGTAATACAGCTTGGAAATGTTTCAGGCCGAGACATAACGAACGCATTATTTATATTTTCTTTTTTATTTGCATTCGTCACTTTTTTTCGTTCTATTCTTTCTTTCTGTGCATCATCATGACAATAGCAATTTTTTTTTCTTTGTCCATGTAGCTTGTCAAGGATATATAAATGCAATATAAGAAATAAAATACACATATATGCTTGCAATCAAATAAGACATCTAGGTTTTTTCTTGTTATATTGTTTTAGATTTCAAATTAATATTTTACTACATAATTTTTACTATTAAAATATGACGTCAATGCCAGTTCGTCAATTAGGTAAGAATGGACCATCTGTATCAGCCATCGGTTTTGGAGCTATGGGTCTTTCTGCATTTTATGGAACACCTGCTCCAGATGAAGAACGATTCAAAGTTCTTGATCGTGCAATTGAACTTGGTAGCACATATATTGATAGTGCAAATGTCTATGGTGATAATGAAGATTTACTTGGAAAATATTTCAATAAATATCCTCATCAACGTGAAAAAGTTAGGAAAATTAAAAATTATTATAAATCGCAAACGTTTGATGAATAAATTGATCTAAAGTTTTACAAATTAATCCCTCTCTCTCTCTCTCTTTTTATCTCTAAGATATACAGTAACTATCAAATTTATTCAACAAGATTTGTTTTCAATTATTTTCCGCTGCATTAAGTTCTACCAAGAATCCAAATAGTGATTTGAGTGGAGAAAATTGTTTCGAATAAGAATATAAGGGAATTATTTTTATTATCGAATTCATAAAGATAGAGTCTCCACAAAACTAAAACTCTAGCTTTTCAACATCTAAAATGCATAAATATAATTTTGTTTGGACTGTATAGAATGATAGAGCAAATAAATCTCTACAAAATGGGACATCTTTGAGTTCTCTACGATGGTTTTTGGCTGAGATACAACAATATTACGGAAACCCCTTAAGTTGTGTTTTTATTATTTCCTATGGAAAAATCCTTTTTATTTGAACCTTCAATCAAAATGCTGTATCTCAACCAAAAAACATCGTAGAGAAGTCGAAGATGTCTTATTTTGTACAGAATCATTTACTGTGTTATTCTCTGTAGCCTAAACAAAATTATATTTACGTACTCTGGATACTAAGAAACGAGAATTTTGGTTATCTGAAGATTCTATCTTTGAGAATGTGATAATAATTCTTTTTTTCTTATTTCTACGTTGAAAAAAAGTTTTTCTATTCGAATCACTATTTGAATTCTTTCTAGAGCATAAGGCAGAGGAAAAAGATTGAAAACAAACCTTGTTGAATAATTTTGGTACGCACTATATATTGGTGTTTTATTTCGTATCATAGGTTTTTCTTGCCACCAAGTTTGGTATTGTATTTCTTCCAGATGGTAAACGAGCCGCAAGAGGTGATGCTCAATATGTTCATGAACAATGTAACAAAAGTTTAAAACGTCTTGGCCTCGATTATGTTGATCTCTATTACGCACATCGCATTGACAAGAATGTACCGATCGAAGAAACTATGGGTGCTTTAAAAGAACTTGTTGAAGCTGGCAAAATTAAATATATTGGTCTATCTGAATGTTCAAGTGATACTCTTCGACGAGCATATGCTATTCATCCGATTGCAGCTGTACAAATTGAATATTCACCATTCAGCTTAGATATTGAACATGAAGATATTGGTCTTTTAAAAACATGTCGAGAACTTGGTGTAGCAATCGTTTGTTATTCACCGTTGGGTCGTGGGTTATTAGGTGGACAAATTAAAAGTCCAGATGATCTTGATGAAAATGATCTCCGACGACACTTTCCACGTTTTTCGAAGGAAAATTTTCCTAAAAATCTTCAACTAGTTGAAACATTAACATCGATAGCTAAGAATAAAGGTTGTACAGCAAGTCAACTTACATTAGCTTGGATTCTTAGTCAGGGAGAAGATTTTATTGTAATTCCTGGTACAACAAAAATCACGAATTTAGAAGAAAATATTGCTGCAGCACAAATCAAAATAAGTAAAGAAGAAGAAAAAATAATTCGAACAGCTTGTCGAGAAGCAGATATAGGTGGTGGACGTTATCCAGAAGGATTTAGTTATTTATTATTTGCCGATTCGGCACCAAAAAAGAATTAAAAAATTCAATAAACATTAATATAATTTTGTTTGATGTTTAAGTTTATATAGCTAATAAATAATCATATCGATTTCAATTTTTACAAGTTTTTGATTTAGACTTGCTAATAAAAATGAAAAATACTTTGATAGAAATCTTTTGAAGTCAAATATACTATTGGTCAATTGAAATTAACTTTTAGATTATAGAAAACAGTCAAAGATCTCGTATTGAAAAAATTCAAATAATATTATTTTTTTGTTTTCTGTTATATGTAAAATGATAGATTCATTGAACAGCTTCATTGTTTTGACTTGAATCGAATTATTATATTTTTAAATTGAATTTATAACACAATTTGGTATAGAATGACATAATATATTTGATTTCAATTTTGTTTAATCTTATTTTTATTATACAGGATGTTTGAAAAGTTAGTCATGAAATAAAACTGCAATAACTCTTCAACGATTCACATGAAGTTTTTATCATATCATAAGATATTCTCGAAAGTTTAGCTTCAAATGATTGGCATCAACTCTAAGTCATGAAACCATATGTTTCGAAATATTTTAGGAAAACCAGTGCATCAAGTTTGTTGTGTGATCCTTGTGATCCTATTAACCATTTTTTATCTTATATATCAACAAGAACTTTTATATTCATTTGAGACCAAAATACCAGATTGATACATAAATAAGGATCGATGATGGGATCATAATGATTTCAGAACAAACTGTATGCACTGGTTTTGTACAAACGTATCGAAAAACACGCTTTCATGTATCAGTGTGATATTTTCTTTTTTGCAAAACAAAAGGAAAAGTACTACAACAAGTAGGTAGCTCGGCTTAAAACCATTTACTTATGATTGTTGTCTTACAAAGATTTACTGTTCAGACCCAAGCAGACAAGGATATCTGAAAACACGTTTAAACATTCTGGTCGCGCATTTCGTTGGAGTGTTTTGGTCAAGTCGCATAAAAAGTCAACGTTTGCACCAGATCTGAAAAACATGTCAAAATATAGCGGAAAAAATATTAGCACCTTTTCCAGATGCAAAACTTGCTTATTAAATCATCTTCAAACATCTTTTATGATGAAAGTAGCTGGTTTTGATGTTGTCTGAATGGATGCCAAAACATTTAAACGGAAACCGTGATTAGAGCGTTTAAACGCATTTTCAGAAATTCTTGTCTGCTTGGAAATCCTTCATTTGGATAGAAGCCAAATATAAATTGACACTGTATCATGACATTTTCCATTGTGAATTGAAAAAAGACAAGTTCGACATTTTTTTTCACTTTTCATTTAATACTTAACATCATATAACCAACGTATATAATCGTTGTCAATAGAAAAAATTCGAAATAAACTGAGCGTTTGGAATGTGAAAAATGTATGAGAGTGTTTGATTATTGTTGACAGATAATGACTTCGAGAAGATGAGACATATATTGTTTGATCTTAGTATTGTGTGAAAATAAAGACGGACAACAATATGATGACGAAGAAAAACTAACGACGCAACTACTAATGAGTACTAGTTAATACATATTGTCGACGATGAAAAAGACAAGATGGATAAAAACAAAAAAGTGTGCGTGCTTTTCACTCAAGATAAATATTGTCACTTTTCTTATTTAAATAAACAAGAAGAAGAACTCAGTTCAAACATTGTTATTTTACTTTTTTCAATATTGTTTCAATGTTGAATGATGAGACACTTTGAGATTGATTTCTCTTACAATTCTTTCTTTTTATTCAATCTAATTTTCAATTTCAAGTAAGTCAAAAGAAAAACAGAGGTAAGATTTTTTTTTCTTTTTGTCTATCTATAAATAAGAAAAAGATTAGAAGAATATATTAATCAATAGATAATTATTTTCTTTTTAGTTTTTTGTTGAATAGAATATAGAATTGTTGATAGATTAGTAAAATATTCTTATTTGGTTTGTTTATTTTATTTAAAGATCTAAAATGATGAAAATAATAATAATAATATGTATATTAAATGTTATAATAAAAAGTTCATATTCAAATCCATTAATAAAAAGTTATCCAATAATTGATTTATTAGAAAATAGTCCATTAAATACATTTGTTATAGAATTAACAAATTCATCAAATAAATTAATATTAATAAATTTAAATGAATTTGAAACAAAATTATTTTCAATAATAAATGGAAATATTTATACAAAAAATTTGATTGATCGTGAAGAATTTCTTGATAAAAAATATTGTTTAGATAAATTTTATTGTAAAATTGAATTACAAATACTTGTTGATGATGGTTTAGCTTATTGGATTATTCCAATTCATATTGTTGAGTAAGTTTTTTTTTTGAAGAAGAAGAAGAAAAAATAAAATATTTATTTTAAATTTAATTAAAGTGAAAATGATAATAAACCAGAATTTGCTAAAAATGAAATTGAATTAAAATTTGTTGAAAATGTATCAAATGGATATAGAATATATTTTGAAGGTGCAAAAGATATTGATGAAGGTAAAAATAGTGAAATTCATTATATATTAGATTGTTCAAATAATAAAAATAAAATCTTATTATTAAATCAATCATCAATAAATTGTTTTTCATTATTTGAATTAATAATAATATCTCAATCATCATTATCAAGTTTATCAAATAATTTTGATAAATTAGCATTAAAATATAATCCATCATTAATAAATGAAAAAAAAACGTTTGAAAATGAATATAAATTTATAATTTATGCTATTGATAATAATGAAAATAATAAACAATTAATAAATTCAATGAATTTATTTATTAAAATAGAAGATAAAGAAGATAAAAATAAAAATTATATAAAATTTTTGTTATCTTCATATGAATTTGTTATATTATTAAATGAAACATTAAATAAAAGAGAAAATTTGATAGGTAAAATTCATGCTATATCAAATAATCCATCAGATATAATTTATTATAAAATTTTATCAAATAATAAAATAAATGAAATAAAAATAAATTTTTTAACTGGTGAATTAAGTTTTATAAATAAAAATAATATAACATATATAAATAATGATATTGAATTAAATGTTGAAGCTTTTTTATTATTAAAAAATAATAATTTTAAAAAATTAAAAAATCAAACAAATATTAAAATTTATTTTCGTTATTTTCATTTATTAAAAAATATTTCATTTTATTATGAAAATATTTTATTTAATAATTCAAATTATATTTATCAATTAAATAATAAATCAAATATTTTTTTTATTAATAAAAATATTCAAATTAATATTAATTTATTAAAAATATCTCTTTTTTCATATTATTATCCAAATGATAAATTTATTTTTTCACTTGAAAATTATTTTAATATATTTTCACTTATTCCTTCTTCTTCTTCTTCTTTAATTAATATTTATTATTTAAAATTAAATCAACAACTTATATCATCAAATCATAATTATTTATTAAATATTCAAATTAAACATAAATTATCTCAACAATATTTACCAAATTTAATTATTCAATTTATTGTTTTTGATCAATTAACAACAACAACAACAACAACAACAATTGATAATACTAGTTTTATTGATGATATTCAAACAACAACTAATATAATAACATCAACTTCAATTTCTGATCAATTTCTTGATGAATCATTTGATTTTTGTTTAGAAAACAAAACTTATATTCTATATGATATTAAAAATAATGATAAAGAAATTGCTTTCTTAAAAGTAATTCAATCAAATTTATTTATAGATAATAATAATAATAATAATTTAACTATTAATTTAAGAAATTTTTTAAATAATAATCAAAGTGAAATAATTTTAAATGAATGTCGAATGTATATAAATAAATCAAATAATTTATTTAATAAATCTTTCGAATATGAAATATGTTCTTTTGATTATAATAAACAATGTTTTAATATAACATTTCTTATTGATGAAATAAATTCAATATCATTTGAAATTAATAATCATTTTCAAAAATGGATTTTACCAAAAAAACCAATAGAAAAAATAATGGTTTTTATTTCAATTATATTTCTTATTGGAACAATTATTCTTATTTTACTTATTTGTCGATTAAAAGGTTTTCTTATTTGTTCAAAAATAAAAAATTATTTTTTCTATGGAAAAAAATATGGTATAAACAATTCTCAATATTTATCTTCTTCTTTCTCTTTACCACCATTACCATCAGCATCAGCATCAGCATCATTACCATTATCATCAGTTCCACCAACAAAAATTCCAGTTTGTTATTTATTTAAATTCTTTTTAGAATTACTTTATTCATTTAAATTTTCTTATTATTATTTTAGCAAAGATCTCATTCAATTGTTGTCCAACAATCTGATTTTTCTTCATTTGAACCAATTAAAATAAGTGAGTTGTTTTATTAAATTATTATTTGTTATTAAATATTTTCTATGATAGAAAATGATGATAATGAATCATATTTATTCAATATTGATCGTTTTCTTCAAAGAGAACCACTTCCTAAAACAAATACATTTATTCTTCCATCATCTGCACAAATGTCATCATCATCATCATCGTTATCATTAAGATCTTCAGTTCAACGACAAGAAAAAGTAATGTTAAATGTTGAAAATCGATTAATAATACCTCGAACATCATCATCATCATCATCATCATTTCTTCAAGAAACAAAACAATTATTAGAAATGATATCATCAAATCAAAATTTTGATTTATCAAGATTAACTTCTGAAATTTAATTATGTTTGTTTTCATGTTTTGTTCCATTCGAATCATTTAATATTTGCATCTTTTTTTTTGACAAATTTATGAAATATAAATATTAGATGAAAGTCTTGCTAAAGCTTTTCTACATCTAAAGAAAAAATAATTTAATGTGTGGATATCTGTAGATATTATATTCATCATATGATTTATTTGTTTGTTAAAGATCAATATGTTTTTCAATTGCTAATAGAATGAGATTTCGTACAAAACCGAGTATAAATCCAAGTGGAAAATGTTTTACATATGGTTCAATTATTTTCCATTTTTTAGCCCAAGTTTTTTTCTTTTCCGCTAATGCTTTTTCTTTAAGTGCATCTTTGTATAGTATAATAATAAGGGATGAAATAGTTCCTAGTGTTAAAACAGTAAGTATGATGACGAATAATAGACGAAACCAATTTCGATAACACCATGTTGATGTTGATTTATCATCAAATTCGTCTGAATCATTTGAGTATTTAAGACGATAACTATTTCTGTTCATGTCACTAATATATAAAAGATAACCAATGTAATTGAAACAAAAAACAACTAAAGAGAAATATAAAGTAGAGTAAATAGAAATTAACTTATAAATTTACCATCGCCCGCGATTTCTTTCTAAATTATAACATATAATTCAAAAAATGATTTCACTCCAATAAATATTCACTACTTGAAACAATCAAAATAATAGAATTGTTAGAAGTGCAATAGTAATCTTCTATAATTGATGTCTATTTTTCAAGGTAAATAATATGCATAGAATTTTCTAAATAGATATCCATTCTCATTTACTTTCGTTATTATTCATATAGCTATGATCGACAATAGTTTTTCTTTATCTGATGTTTTATCAAGAATAATACTACATTAACTAGGAATAAAAATAATATGAGAAAATCTTACTTCCTAAAATAAATCTGAAGAAATATGTTCATTTGTTTCTCACACAGGGTTTTTTAAGAAGAGAAAGACACCTTATAAAATATATTTAGTTTTTTCTTATTCATCGAATATTATTGATATTAGGTCAATCATTGACTTTCTTAAGATTGTCAGTATTCTACCTTTATTTGCTTTTGAATCATTTCGCTAACAATATCTTCTTTTCGAATTGTACCTAAAACGTTGTTTACAAGACTATATTTACATTTAAATTCATTTTGAAAGCATTGGTGTTCTCGGTCGCATTATGCTTATTTATTATATAACATATGATAGTATCATTGATGTTATAAATATAATAAAAAATGAAAGAAATGTCATTGTTATATAAAACCAGTATCAATCTCAAAATAATTAATGATGATTATGATTTATCTTTTTTTCTATTATGATCATTGTACGAAGGTACTAACGAAATAATACTTGAATCAATCAGTTTTTTAATAGAAGTTAGTTCCTGAATAATTTATATTCATTGATATAATTGTTTTTTTGCAAGTTAAATTAATGTAACTAAGAATATTAAATAACAGTTACATATAATAGAAAAAAATGTTAAGAAATTATTAGTAGTCGTTGGCATTTTCATTGTTATTATCATATGATGGATCATTATATGATGTGTCTGCAGTATCTGATGAACTACTCCAGATATCCGCCATTGCATTGATAAATCCTTGCCCAGAATTTGTCGAACCAGAATTTTTTCCATTTTTCTGTCCTTTTAATTTTCGAAATATTTGCAATTCGTATGGTCCAAATATGAAAAATATCACAGCAATTACTATAAGTATTGTAGAGAGAACTAAGATACAAACACAAATTTTAGCTCCATTACGAGTACAACAACTGTCTCTGCTACCATCAGCATAGTTCTCCGTTTCATACATGCCATCATATCCTAATGAGTCACTTGCTATTATAGTTGTATCGCTCATGTTGAAAATATAAATCAAATAATAGATTTAATAGAACCAAAGAGTAAATTTTAAAATATCAAACAGAAAAGAATGAAAATAATAAAGTCAATTGAAGCCGCCAATTTTGTATGTAAAACAACAGGATAACTATTGATAATTTTGTTTAATATCGAAGGAAGATGAGGTAAATTCTAGATAGAGAATTCTGAATGTAGCTAATGATCGTCACTTTTTTCGACTACATTTGAAAACAATAAAGTTTTTTTTTCGTTATGAAATATATTCATGTGAAATGAATAATCAAATTTCATATTTATTCTTTATATGTGGATATATTTCACTTGTAACCATTTAATTTTATTTTCAAATATAAGATTTAAAACTTATGTTCATATATCAATAAACAAGCATTATCTACTCAAAATTGTAACGATCATGTAATGATTATTACATAGCAGAACTTCGCTGTTTTTCGAGTTCTGAATTTCGAATGTCTCACAGGATGGAACTAATGGAATTCAGGATTGTTCCGTAGGGCTCCAGAAAACTCCTATCTTAAATAACATTATATTTATTCTTAATATTTCATCATTATTATTTTTCTACTATTTGTACAGTTTGAATTCGGTAAATTCAATAGCAAATTTTGTTGCTCTTTATTATAACTGTTATTTTTATTTACAATAAGCATATCATAAACCAATGAACAAAACAGATATAATTAACTTTCATCTGAAGGACCTCTTTTTTGATCACCTTTAGTATTTGAACCTCGCAATTGTCTATTCGATGTTGTTTTTCGTTTTTTAAATACGATTGGTTCGTTTGTTTTTGATGATGATTTCGATGGTATTCCAGTGATTTCTCGTTCTTTAAAAGTTAATTTAATGTGTGAATCATCTTTTATTTCTGATATTACTGGCACAGGTTGATTTTCAGGTAGATGCCAATTATCTGCTGGTAAATCAAGTTGTTCACCAAATGTTTTACTGAAAATAAAAATAAAAATAAATAAGTAAATCAATCAATCAAAGACAGTGAAACACTAACCGTTTTAATGGATCTGCTTTGACAACAGGTTTCCAATCACCATATGGATGTTTATATTTATTCTTGCCTTTAAAAAAAGCATCGACTTCAGGTGGTAATTCTGGTTCTTTTGGAATTGCTGTTTCTTTCTTTTTTTCTTCTTCTTCTTCTTTCTTTTCTTCTTCTTCTTCTTCTTCTGCTTCTTTCTTTTCTTCTTCGGATTTATGAGACATGATGAACTAATATTTTATATATAATCTAGAGTAATAAAAAATAATATGAATATTTATTTAGATAAGTTAAAAATTTTTCTAATTGTTTCATTCATTAGTAGAGCAAATTGTTCATGAGCTTTTTCATCAAAATGAATTCCATCAACTGAACTATATTGAACATGAGGTGCTGCATCAACAAAATAGACATTCTTATCATATGTATTAACAAGATTTTTTAAATCATGAGCTAAATTTTGTGTTCGTTCTTTTGCACCTTTAAACATATCCGTGCAACTTGTCTCGATTGGTATTGGTATACTGACAATGAGTATTGGTGGTGATTCTTGCATAGTAGGACCATAATTTGTTGAATGAACAATTTCAATAAGTTCTTTAATACCTTCAGTAATTTGTTGACTTGTTCGATTATTAAATTGCTCTTTCAAATCATTTAATCCAAGCATAATAATAACCAAATCAAGTGGTGCATGAGTAAAAAGAATAACTGGAAAAAACTCAGTACCACGAAATCCCTTTGGTTTATCATCATAATCTAAATTTGTTGTTCGATTATTAAGACCTTCTTCAATTACATAAAAATGTGCTGGATCAAGTAATTGTTGTAAACGACCTGTCCAACGTGTATTTCGATCATAACGTTTACGAGTACCATATGTACCTGGTACAAATCCCCATGTATTCGAATCTCCATAGCATAAAATTGATCTCATTTTTATTCGTTCTGGAATATGAAAATCTACATATAAGACAAAGAAAATTTCTTTGTTTTTTTTATTTTAAACTAAATAAAAAATAATAATAATAATAATAATAAATCTCTTGTCCTAAAAATTTGTTTTTTGGATTAAATTTGACTATAATAATTTTCTACGTCGTTTTTTCTTTACTATTATAACTTTGTAAATAAAAGTTTGAAAAAAAAAGCATAAGAATTGTTATTGTATAAATTAAAAATGATACATGAAATATTTTTGGAAAGTTACATTATCATTGTAAATTAATTATCGAATAGATAATAACAACAACAAATTGAAGCTATTCAAAATTAACTATATTATTATAGGTCAATTTTTATTTTCGAAATTATATGACATATCCATTTGAGTTTGTGTTATATAATATTTTCATCAAAGAAATTTTTGAATTTAAGTTTCACAAGCATTTAATCTATAATAACTATACATAAGATCATGAACGAAAGAGTTGAGAATTATAAAAAAAAGAAAAAGAAAAAGCTATAAATAAAATGAGAAATAAAAAACACATTCGTAGCATTGTCTCTATTTTCTATTTGTTTCTTCGAAAAGAATCAATCTGAAACCATTCATAAATAATAGCTTAATTTTCACTATTAATAAAATTTCAAAAATGATTTTTTATCAAAAATTAATGATTATGATATTTCATTATACATTGAAAATTATTTATAAATTTCTTTTAAAGACATCAATAAATGTTATTTAAGTTGAAAAATTGACCGAAGAAAAACAAAAGATAATTGCATTTATCTTTTTAAAACAAATGACTTGTTATTTATATGATCCACTGTTTATTTTTTAACGAAGGAATAGTTACAATTGATAAAACGCTTTTAACTTGAGACTACATGTATTATGTAGAATCAAATGAGCTATAAATATCTTGAAAATAGTTCAAATTCTTAGCTTATTACAACCAAGATATTACAAATTTACGATAGTCGTTAAGTAAATGTTGTAGAACCTCTCAGGAACATCAGCAAAAACTGATTTTCGAATTTTGACTTGAAACTTTACACAGAAACGGTCCTTAACGAAAATAGTTTGTTGTGAATGTATCAGATCTTGTCATTTTTCATATCTTAAGATACAGCTATGATAAAAAGAAAGGCTTTATAGTTAACTAATTATCATGACAGTAGGACTTTCCGAAAGATTGAAAGGCTATCAAAAAAAAAACCTACATCTTTCTTTGATCCATACATAAATTGTCTATTCATTATTTTATTAGAAGTTGAACTTCTATTTTTCTTACTTGATGTATTATTATATAAGTGCAGAAAATAATTTGTAAAAAATTGTAAATAAACATAAATTCACGTCATTCAAAAACCTTTTTTAGTTTCCATCCATCGTTGTCCAAAAACAATGAAAAATCTATAGACAATGACAATAAGAAATGTTGGAATAACCCTTATCATTAAAAGCCAATCGTTGACACGTACATCTAAAAAAAACAAAGAAATTTTATATTAATTACAACAAAATTTTAGAAAATATTCAATAATTTGACTCCATTTTCTGATAGAGTTATAAATAAATCATTTTTTACAATTTACATTAAATCTGACATATTTATTCAATTCAAAACGAAATGAAAGGGTTTCTCATTGATGATACGAGCTTATAAACGTCTGCCTACAATCTATATACTCAAAATAAAAATAAGGAATATCAACTGTTAGATATAGTGAATGAATTTGTATTAGTCATAGAACGAAGACATGAGGATAGTAGTAGAAATGACACTTGAAAGAGAGAGAGAAAGCAAGATGTCATACTTTATAGATGTCACCTGTGTGTTGTAACTATCGTGTTAGTATACTTTTTTGATTAAAAAAGAAGAAGAGTCATTTTACTAAAAGAAAAAAAATCTTATTCATATAAAAGACATAGACTAGAAATGGAATAAATTATTAGATGAAATTTCAATTGAAATAATTGTGTATGTATTGCTCAGATAAATAATTATCGACTAAAATTTAACTTAATGTATACTCGCTTTTTTTAAATGATTCAATGCAATTAATAACGAATAAATAAATTATGAAATGGATGAATATCAACAATAGTAAATAAACGATATTAATCGACTTAAATTCATTTATTATAAATAACTCATATGTTGATTTGCCAAGAAAAATTTTTTAAGTATTAGTTATATTCACAAAGAAAACAGAAACAAGTTTCTAAAGTATTTAATTTCATAGCATTCATTTAAAATGCAGAATCGAATCAAATAGAGCTGTATTCATTGTTAAACCAAATATTATTAAAAATCAATGCACTTTATTTATAAAAAATAAGAAGTTTTCTAGCACTAATAATTATCTATAATCATTATTTCACGATTTTCTTTGACGTGTGGTGGAAAAAAAAAGATTTCGAATCATAAAGATTGTTAAATCGTTGAATTTCATAATGATTATATTTATCGTCAATACCTAAAATTGCTTTATTCGTCATGAACATCTTCTACTATTCATTTTTGCTGTCTCTTTACTCTTGCATCAAAAGATCAAATTAATGAATTTATTGTAAAAGTTTTTACCTTGTAAAAAGAAGAGTATCATTTTGTTTCTAACTTTATTATCAATTTAAATTTTTTAACTTTCGTTCATCATCTTTTCTATCTCCAGTTTTATCATCCTCACCTTAAGAAGTTGTGATGGATATTCAATTTATTCTGATTCATGAGGTAGTTTATGAGTAACAGCCTTTCCAAAAAAAAGAGAAATAATATCAAATCCATATTGATTCTAAAACTAACATTGACATGAAACTTACTCGAACGTGCATATCTGTGCGATGCAATCCAAATAAACATAAACAATGTCTTGTACGAAGACATTGATATCTAATAGCAAACTAGAGAACACAATCCATAGACATTTGAAAATGTGACGAAGCAAAAAACTAATTCAATTTTCTATTTTCTCATTGAAAAGTGAAAAAGTATGCCCTAGCCCAAAATCCTGGCTTCGTCACTGAGGAAGAATAACGAGTTTATTTGTTGGATATTTTTTAATCTGTGATATTTTCGGTGCTGCCATTTTTTTTTTATTTGTTTAACTTAGTTTACAAATAGCATTTAAAGAGCACGTTTTCTAATAGCTTGGGATCTTTTTGTGAGAAAATATGTAAAACTCAAACCAGAACCATCAAAGCCTAGCCAATGAAATAAAGACAAAGAATATTTAATTAGTATCTATATTCGCAATATTGCTGCACCATGTGATTTTATAAAGCACGAGTCAGCTACGAACGTATGCTAGATATCACCTATTGTCGTGTCGATCAATCTATAAAAGACATAACGACTATTATCATTGTTACAGTGATGTCACATGCATGCATATTCACTATCCAGTGTTATCCTTTATTCTCTTTCGTCTCTCTTTGTTCTTTAATTGATCTCTATTTTTTTTTTCTCGTTCTTTATACAGAATGGCCCAAGAGTAACCTAACAGAGACTTCTTTTCGACTTTGTTTTCTTTACAGATCCATAGTTCGATCTCATATTTGGATCACATACACCAGATGACAATGCTCAAAGAAAGAGCCTACTGTCAATCTCTGTTTGTAAGAATTTGTTGGAAAACATACGAATATGTTGCGTAGTCTCTTATATGACTGTCACATAAATTCGCTGGCTGTTATCTAATTGAAGTAATGTCTCTTTTCATTATATCTTATTTTTGAGTAGTTGGCTGAGCAACAACTCTGAAACAATGTAAAGATACATAGAATTGAAATCATCTTGTACATTTTGATGCAAACAAATCAAAAGATACAAACACAACACTACAAGAAAATTACAAACTTATGTAACAGTCATACAAGAGTGTGTGTGAAACGTTCATATGTTTATCGATATAATCTTTTAGCCAAAGGCTGATAATAGACTCTTTCTGTGAGTATTGTCATCTGTTGTATGTAGTCCAAATATGAGATCGAACTATGGATCAATAAAGAAAACAAAGTTGAAAAGAAGTCTCTGTTAGGTTACTTTTGGACCGCCCTGTATATTAATTATAAGGTAAAAAAGCAAACAACATTAGACGATTAATTGTGTCATAATTGGAAAATCTTTTAATTCAAATCACTTAAATCAAAATTGATAAGCAGCAAGTCCATAGACATACAAGTCTTTATCCAGCATTAATGTAGAAGCAGATATTCTGGAAGATTTTCTTCTTTTCACAACAAACTAAACGTTGGCTCTCTAAACTGAACATCATCGTATGGTAAATGCTTATAAATAATATCGTTAATGTTCACAATGGAAAGGTTTTATTGGAGTTTTTAAATGAAGAAAAAGCAATTTTATTAAATGAAAAGAAATTTCTTTATACAAAAGACAGAAGCCTAAAAAAAGCTGGACAGATTATTAGATAAGATTTAATATGAGATAGTTTAATATTTTTTCCCCATTCGAGAATTTTCAGCATCAAATTTAAGTGAATGTACACTTGAAAAACTATCATAACCAGCTAAAATAACACATTTAAAATGACGAACATCAATTGAACGATCTAATGTATAGTCAGTTATTTGAAGATTATTCTCATTGTTAGGTAAAGCTGAAAAGAAAAAAAAATCAGTATCTTCTTTGTCATCAATAATTATCGAAATCATACTTTTTTCAAAAATTGTTTCGAAATTTTTTGGTTCTTGATTACTAGTTGTAAACATAACAAACCGTTTGACTACAAAAATGACAAGCAATTGAATAAAAAATCACAATACGAAGAAAACCATAATATATATCACCTACCATTACTTGTTACGAAACGTATATGACGAAATTCAATTGGTTCTTTGAATGTGATAATAAATTCTTGAGGATACAAACCTGTTGTCATCCAAAATACTTTTTCACTTCTAATAGAACAAAATATAGAAACAATACTGTTGCATACAAATTGAAGTAGAAAAACAGATAGATTAATCTGATAATTACAAGAGTACTATGTATTTTTCCATTAGATTTCTCAAGAATAAGATAATTTATGGGTTAGAAAGGCATATGTTGACCATCTAATTCGATAAGTCTATAGAAAATAGGCAAAATATGTTTCACAAAAAGTTCGCTTTTTATATTCTAAGTTTTTTTTTCGTGCAGTTATCATAGCTTTTCAAAAAAAAAAAGAAAACTTCTAAATTCTCTATTATTGTGCTCTACTAATGAATAATTATTATTAACATTATATTGAACTTCTGCATTCAACTGACTTTCATTCTTACATTTTCCTATCGTTACAAATAGCTTCTCATTTAATTAATTACTCTTAATTTCGTTGAATTTTCATAATTAATACTTACGAATCAAGAATATTACTTGCTGGATAATCTTGGTCGGCACTTGATGCCATAGAAACAAATGCATTTGATTCTGTGAGTGTCATCTTCAAAATAAAATAAAAAGAACAATTAATAATCTATTTTCTATTGTTTTTTTTTGCTGCTCGTATTTATTTAAAAAATAAAAGAAGTCAGAATAATATGACAATACATAAAGAAAAATGGCTAACCATTCTTTTGATTGTTTACAAGAAAAATTCAGCATCATAATTAGTTAACAAAATAAACAAAAGTATAAACAATATTTAGTTTTCTAAAAACTAATATCTTGTGATTTATAACAATTCGTAATATTTGCTTATTTTCAAATTTTACAAGAACATAGAATACTCTTGCAATATTTGGTAAGGTTCGCGTATGAACATTCTAATTATAAAAATTAAACGACCGAATATTTTTACATAATTTTGATTGTTGATCAATATGTCATCTAAGACGTAGTTCTAATTATTCAATTGTATTGTGATTCATCACTAGTAAAGACCAGTCAATATTTTATAAATATGGTTGATGATTAATTGAACGAATTATTATTGATTTTTCATGACGAAACTGTATAATTAATTTACTAGGTACAATATCTTGTCAATTTATTAATATTGTTACGTCAAGTTCATTACAATCTTTTAAATGAATGTCAATTTTTTTCAACATTAAGTACACATCGAAGAGAATGTTGATTAGTTTGTAAAGATTTCATATTTATTAAATGATAAATGTTGATCCAAGGACTTGATATCTCGATTTTCTCTGTAAAATCTTTCGCTTGTTTTGCTAATTGATTATAACACGTAATGAATAGGTATTAGAAATATATAGTTATTTTAATTCAAATTCTAATGAATAATTTCCACGATGGATATGAAATTATAACATATATAATTGTATGTATTGGTGACAACGATGATTGAGTTTTTGTTCCTTTTTATTTATCATCTTGTTTGTGATTTTTGTATAAGATTCATGATGAATATGAAAATCATGAATAATTTTCATTAAATAATTGGACAAATCGATCAATGATTAATCAACGTTATTTATTTGAATGAAAAACTAGCGCAAAAGATTAACGAAAGAAATATTTTCTATTGAAATTTAACAATGAAGTATTTCAAAAATTTCTTAGTACAAATCATAACAAAATGCTTTTAAGTATATACATTGAGAATAATTAAACGATATGTACACATAAGCCTTTATAAAATTTTCATTGAAATAATCTGTCGATTTTTTGTTAATATAAAGTTCGCACTTAATTTCTTTACAAATCACGACATCAATTCTATTATTCAAATGCCTGTTTTGGCATTAGTACTAAACGCGAAACAATTTCTCTATCTTCATCTAATTTCAAAAGCTTATATACATTGTTTAAAAACGTTTGATTTCTATCTTCCTATAAAAATGTACACATATCAGTTAGTGCCCAATGAATATTCATCATTGTTATGCCTAGATTAAAAAACCGATCCATATAATCAAAAATATATGACCATATAGATGCCATAAAAATTACTTGCATTTCTCTAAATCGTTGAAGTCAAAGTAAATTCATTTGTTTTACAGGATGGGTGTTGGTGGATGAAGAGAAGATCCTCACATTAACACTCTTCCAAGATTTTATCATACTTCGAAACTAGATGCTCAAAGTAGTTGTTAGTCACGTCTATGTCATCATAACTATAAATATTTATATTGACACGAATAGTTTGGAGACCCTCATAAACTGCTATTATCTGATTTGAAAATAGTCCTTTTAAAACAGTAAAATATAAGCTTATTAAAACTCATTTTTAAACCTATTATGTCAAGATTTTGTTTGTTATGTCATGAAAAAGGTGATGTTTATTATTGTCAATCGACAAATCGTTGAATGTCATCCTTATCTTCAATACCGAAATATTTGCTAATGATTTGTTTCATGAGTATCTTCCAATGATAATTTACTTGGCTAGAAAATAAAACAAATTGACAATAGTAACGGAAGAAAATTTTGAGGACATAAAGAAATAATATCTTTTGGTTTCTAGCTTTATTCTCAATTTACATATCTTGACTATGTTTTGTTGTTTTCTATTCTTTCATTGCTTCTTTTGTAGAGCTCAATAGTTACTCAAATTCTTCCAATTCACGTTTTTATATATTAGTAACAATCCTTAAATAACAAAAAAAAGTCTAAGGAAGTGAATGTTATATTTCAAGTAACATGATATTGAACTTACTGGAATCGTTGTACCTCTAGAATTGCATACCATTAGAATCAAACAATGTTTATCACAAAACCATTGATAACCTACAATAAAATAGAAAATCTATTATATAGATAGATAAACTTGATAAAAAATCAACATTGTCGAACCTTCCAATTAGAAAATAGAAATGCATAACTTAAATGAAGACAGCCATTTATATATGCTTACGAAGATGCTATGAACAGAGTATAAGAACTAAAAACAAGAAGAAAAGTTATCTATTACAAATATAAAAAGAATATTTACAACTTGGTGCTATAACTTGGCGCATTTGCTTCAAATCCTTTAAAATCAGCTAGTTTTCCCATTTGATTTTCAATTTTACGACTAGTATCGAATTTGATTATTGAACGTTTATGAGTTCTTTCTATTACTGCAATTGTCGTTGCAGCTATTTTTGTCTTTGCCACGTTTCTACTTTACTATTTCATTTCTTCGCAAGGCATATATTAGAAAGAAGTATTACAACATACTGCAAAAGATATAATAAATAAAATGTGCTAAGACCGAAATCAATCAGTGAGACTGAAGCTCTTCTACAGGATATATATATACGATATTCATCTAATTGTTTTGATCATATCCTAATTAGTTTGATCTCCCAATGTAAAACATTGCATTTGGGTGAAGATGTGTTTGTGTATCCCGTAGAAGCACTCAAATTGATTGATGAAACTAAGGTAAATTATATATAACATTCATAACCTATCACATCAAGAATGAAGAAATATTGGAGTCAAGGCAGTTACAATTCATATTGACATGGTGATTTGATAGAGGTCGTTTAAATACAATGGTATTTTTCTCCAATACAATAGTATGCACTATTGCCTATGAGAAAAAAACACTCTTTACCTGCAAAAAACGAATCTATCTCTCTCGTCATATATGAAAAGAAAAATAAAATTTTTTTTTTGAAAATTTCTTCTTGCTAGGCAATCAACGAGATAATTAAAAATAATCCTGATTTTCTCAAGAATATTTTTCACTGAATAAGAGATATTCTTTCTTGGACAGTAAAAAAAATGTTTGATCACTAATTATCGTAGATATGTCATCGTTACTTAATCAATTGTTTTTTTTATCATACATTGTCACATGAGAATCGAAAACAAAGGAGAAAAGGATTATTTGAATGCACACAAAGACGTCACTATGAAAATATATGCATGATTATGTTCTGTATTA